CTTTTCTCACCACTTACCCGCTTAACGATTAAAACCGAGCTAAACCAACCGCTATTAGACGACAATTGTTGAACTAGACAGTTAGAATAGAGCAATGAGGAGTTTGAGTAATTGCTCGCCAGATTCGAACACCAAGGAAAGGAATATTACATTTCCTATGTCAGTGTAACTACAAAGAAATAAAGGAATGTAAGTGGCTTTCCAGGCACTACACAATCCAAGAGCTGTTCGCATGTGTTCAGTAATTTCAAAGCCAGCATAACCTTTATAAATGGTTCTCATGCACGCGCACACACACTGTAGTGTGTTGGTGCGGAGGTCAAAAGAGCAACATCATTACAGACCTTATCAAATCTACACTTCTCATGGCACTGTACATGCAAATTCTGCAGACTGCCTACTTCTGTCAAGCGGTAAAATAGAGAGAGATAGCAGTCAGCCTAAGGGAAACCCTTATTATCACAGCTTCACTGATACTGCTGGTAGAATCAGCAAAAGAGACTTTTTCCTGTTCACAAGGTGATAACTTCAAGGATCTTGATTAACTTGCTTTAGTCAAGCAGGAAAATTCAAATCTACCCAGCAACTTTGCAATCTGAGTGACTCAGACAGGAATTTTCATGCATTTCAGCTACTTAACCGAACTCCATTATGCATGCTAGAAAATATACTTTTAACATTAAAATCTAAAATGCATGTATTACTGACCACAGCTGTGCTCATCTCCTGAACAGCTCCAAGCAAGGGACTGGATTTGGTCCTCCAGCTATGCTCATGGGCACAAGAAGAGTGTTGCAATACGTTGGTACTTTCCAATTCACCACTACCAATGCTGTGACTGAAATATGAGGACTTGAGTACCACCTTAGCAAGGGTAGTTTTATTACCGCATGATGACAAGGATATTGTTACTTTTAATAAGTATTTTTGGCATGAATATCCTGGGATTCAGAACCATCTATTCCCCAAGCATGAAGTTAAAAACACGTGGAAGAATCCTTTTGATATCCACCACCTCTCTTAATAAATGCTTTAGATGCAATGAAAGACCTAGGAGTTTGTGGACATTTTAAGCAGGTATGTTGCATGCAATTTTATTTTCCTCTTTGCGACGCTCACTTGCCCCACACTGACAGAAGCTCTGCTCTTGGGTACGTGTATAACTCCGTATTATATTCTTTCATACCTATAATTCCACTCGTGTTACTCATGGAAACCTATGGAGGGCCAGAAAGGATGTTTCTAGGGCCACCTCCAGCCCAAGTCAAAGGCTCAGTCATAGAACGCAGATCTTTTCATTTTTGACTTTTTTTTTTTAAAGATCCAGGATGCTCTTTCTCCTAACAGGTCTTCCGGCTGTTTAATAATAATTGAAACTGTTTGCACATAGCTCCTATTACAAACCCTGACAGAGTCACAACAGCCTGTAAAGGTTTTCTTGTTAAGTCTGCCTTCTTAAATGAGAATCCTGAATTTGCACAGTATATTTAAAACAGGAGCTTCTTCACAGTACTTTTTTTTAAAAAAATATCTTCTTATTTAGCATTCTTTTCACATGAGAATATCTTGGCTCTGATGAGCGGACAGTTTTGGTTGTGGGGTTTTTTTTTGGCTTTTTTTCCTCTCTCTCTCAATTCCAGTGCGTGCTATAAGGAAATGACTCAGATCACTAGAGCGGACCTCCCCTGTGCACCTGGGGCGTTAATAAACAGGCGATGCAATTAGAGCGAAAAGCATCATCCCTGAAAAGGATGAGAGAAAAAATAGCAAGCAAAACTCCAGAAAAGGAGCCACCTCTGCCTCTGGTGTCACTCAAGGCATCAGCTTCTCATGTCTAAAAACTTCGAGAAAAGACTGACAGATAAAAAGCCAAGGTGTCCCAAATATCACAACGATGACAGAAAGCCACTCAGTTAAGAGACAGACTGTTTTTCATCCGTGTTGACTAACCAAATGCTTTGAAATGCAACAAAGAAAACTGAAGAGAAACAGAATGTATCCTAGGCGGTAGGTAGCTCTCCTGTAACAGCGCACAGGTGGGAGAACGCCACGTACGCCTTGAAAGAATTTGTATCCAATAGCACTAAAATAATTTGCAGGGACTTTCTGGAGAGTAAAAGCCAGAGAAGAAAAATAGTTCATGAAAAATAAGTTATAGGTTTTTATCAGCTCTCAACTGATTTTTATCATCGGTTAAGTAATTGATTTAGGCACCCAGAATGTCTGAAAGGGATCAGAAGAAAAACAATTGCCAAACAAACCTCTAGGAGATGTGTGTCCACACACACACACACACACACACACACAGACACAGACACTTACACAGAGTTTGAAATGTTATTCAGAACCACTTGACGTGACAGGTTTCCTGGAAGGACATTTGAATTATATCATTAATATTGATTGTAAATGCCCAGATTCCATCCAGTTTCACAGTCTTTTAAATAATCTTTACACAGGCAAAATCCACTTTTAGTTCAGAATACGAGCAATGGCCATGCAGTTAACTTAAAAGAAAATTACAGACAAGAAGTATTTCATTTGTATGCGATCAGTGTAGAAAGATGTAGAATCTCTGGGTCTTTTGAAAACTGCCCTGGACAAAATTGTACTAAATTACTATATGTGCAACAGTGAGATAAGAATTAGAGAAGAGCTATTTCCACTGGGGCAGCATAGGATGGTAAGGTACACCGATGGAAATGATGGGTTTCTCTTGCTTGACTATTATGTTTCTACTGTGCAAAAAGAAGAATAAATGTACTGTCAATTCTACGAGGCTTGTATGAACCGAGTCAGAAGACAGAAAGGTATTAGCATAAACAGTGAATGGCTCTACAGGAAAGCTTTGTTTCAGTACTCTGAATGTATTGCCTGCTTCTAAATATGTAATATGTAATAATTTGAAACTAATAATGTTCTGGTCTTTTATGCAAGATTTCCAGTAATTACTTTGCAATAATCTCCTTTTTAAATTTAGTTCAACACTAACGTCTACATAGATGAGTAAGGGTAGGACCTGTGGGAGGGAGGGTTGTTTTGTTTTAATTTCACTGATCAAATTGTTCTGTAAAATAGATTATCTACTGCTCCAATGCAAAGGGTAGGAGTAGTATGTGTGCTTCAAAGCAAAGTCTCCCTTTCTGTATTTATCAAATCACAATCATGCAACGTCAAGAAACGCAAGTTTCTCTTTCCTATCTCAATACCATTAAAAAAAAAAAATCTTATTCCTAGGGAAGCAAACTGAGCTCTTTACAGGAAAAAGACACACAGAGACTCTTAAACCTTGACCTTTGTTGAAGCAATCCCTTACAGTTTTATGTTTAACTGACTGACAAAAGGAACACGAGAGGCAGAGCATTAGGTTAGATTTAGTGAGTTTAGGGACAGGACTGTCAATTGAGCAAAACTCCAATTACAGACTATTTTAATGTATACCCAAGTACATTATTGCAATTCAATAAACATCTCTTCAGAATTAAACAATTCCAGTTTGCTTTCATTTCAACCTGTGTGCACGCATTACAAATTTGTTATTATCCACCCTAAAATTAGTTAGACTTTTTTGGAAGCACTGATCCATGCAATCCCAGTGTGACACACTGCTGCATCAAACTAACCTCAAATGAACCACTTAACCTTACCTGCTTACCAAATAGGAACAAGGAGAAAAGGAACGTTCCTTCGATATTACTCTCCCATAATTTCATCTAGGTGGACGTCTGCCTGAATAATCCAGCAATGAATTTATCAATGTTTTTCCTGTTGGAAGACCAACCTCTCCTGTTTGCAACTTATTCTTCTACTTTTTTCTTTCTCAAATTGTTACACAATAAAACGTCAGGCTCATACCCTACTTTGCACATTCTGCTATCTGTTCCTCTGGAAGGTTGCCTTCCTTCTGTTTAGTTATAATGCAATACTAGATATGCCACTACTGGCAATTCAGCCCCATTTCAATCATGAATTAATTCCTCCACATGTGAATAAGACAGATGCAAGATCCCTCAGTGGAAGTTAAGAGCTCTTGGCATCTCACTGGAACAGTGCAGTCTGAATACACACAACCCTCAACATTTGAGACCTTGTAAGGGCATCTGCAGGTTGACTGCCAAATGCCATAGGAATTTGGTAGGAAGTACTGCAGTGCACCAAAGTGATCTTGTTTCTACAGCAGCCTTTCTCTTTCAAAGAAAAGTAAAATACTGAGATCAATAAAATCATATTCTATGAGCATCCCTATACTTCAAATTCCTTCCACCCATGTCTGTGTAAGATGAGACTCAGGATGGAGCAGGCTCAAGATTGACTTAGCCACCTTCTGAACTCCCCTCCTAAGAGGGGACAAGCATCCCTGTGGTGTAGCTGAAGGCGAGTTTAACAAAGGCAGCACACTAAATGGCACTTTACTCCATGCCTCATGGGTGCTCTCTTTCTAATTTACCCATTCCAGTTCTACATCCTTCAACAAGCACCATATGGCACGTGTCAGGCACAGCGCCATCTCTTAAATCGTAGTAAGTAACAGAGGCCAAAACTCAAGCTTCCTTCAAGGACTACCAATATCTCTGCTGTTTACTTCAGGACATGAGAAGAATCAGTCTCATCATTTACCCCCAGTAGCCTTGAGCAGACTCTTCTGACATACAGTACTCCATCACAGGATGATTTATGTCTGGTAAAACACTAAAGGAAGGCAGATGAAGCTAACTGACAGCCATATTGTTCAGCTATCCACATTAAAAGGATCCATAAATACCACGCATCATTACAAGAGCTTACAAACAGGGCTGTATCCAGACAGAGCTTGTTTCCACGATTCAGATATCTGCTTTAAGAAAAATGATTGAAATTCATGACACTTAGAACCCTTTTTTCCTTCTTTAAATTTAATCTGAATAAAAGAGGAAGGTCCAATAGGACGGTAATTTTTACACATAGCTGCTATCTGGGAAGAAATACTCATCAGATAAACTCGTTGCTTTAATACAACCTACCTTTCACTATTAATTCTGCATAATTCGAAACTCCAGATCCACCATCGGAACGAATGACGCATCGGTACTTGCTGATACTGCGTTGGGAAGTGTCAGCTACGCTGACAGTAGCAGAAAAACGTCTATGGTTGACCACTCTAGTCACCATTAATGCTGTGTCCCTTCCATTCCACTGCTGTAAAGGCATACAAAAATAACGCAAGTTATGAGGACATACAGATTGTTCATTCATGGATAATTCAGTCTTCGTTATGCTTCTTAACACTGTTTAGATCTTCATGTTCACATTGCTAGGTTAGACTTCATGTAAGTACGAATTCTCAAAAAAGACTGCTAGCCATATCCCTACAAAATTGGCATGTATGGACTGTATGACCTAATGGGCTTAAATATTTTTGCATATATATTTAGGGTTATTTAGGTTTTCCTGTCTGTTCAATTTTTGAAAAGTGTTTGGATGTCTGATGTGTTCAACGTACTGAAAGGGCTGGACAGTGACAGTTCCAACTACGTATTCATACAGGATAGATTTAGAAGCTTAGCTAGCATATGAAAACACCACGGATAAATAGATTTTGCACACCTGGAAAAACGCAAACAAACAGATTTTGTACACCTGGCACTTGCAGGTGTAAAATTCTGTTTCAGGACCAACTTAAATAAATTAATTGGACACACAAACATGTTTCCGTGTCCAATATTGCTCAAAAAGCCTCTCTAAACCAATGCCAGACTACATTTTCATAACTGGAAATCAGACAGATGAAGATCTAGCCAGAAACCGATGTTCTACACAGCACAAACACCTGAACTTGCTCGGTTGGTCTAGTTTATTAGGAGTTTCAAAGCAAAACAAAATATTGTTTTGCCAATTTCCAGTAATCAATTTGCTTGTGGTATTTCCAAGGCTATTTTCATTAAATGCTTCAATTTTAAAGAATAGAAAACAAGTTTCCACTAGCAACCATAATGATTTTCTCCCAAACCCCTGCTTCTCATGGAAAAAGGTTCACATTGCTTCAGGTCACAAGTGTTTTATATACATCTAGTTGTAATTGTGGAAGGATTTCGTAGAAAGAACTCAAAAAAGCTAAAGAATATAGCAAAATGCATCTCAGTGAATGCTAAAAGTACAATATAGGTTAAGAAATGTCAGATCAAAATTGAATTGCTAGGCTAACAGCTATGATAACAGTACAGGTAAAGCAAGTGTCAAGTCATTTCACATAATGCCAACTGCATTTCTCACCAACTCCAATATTTTTCCCGGTACTAATTTTAATCTTTGCTATTAGATAAACTCATTCATCCCCAAATATTTAGACTCAGTTTGAAATTATTTCTAAAGTTTATCAACATGTCTAAAATAAATTTAAAAATGAGAAAATCTATTAGTTATTTGAATAAATACCATAGCAATTATTGCAAGGGTAACTCTTCTCCACCTCAGAAGATGTTGCAAATATGTCTTTTTATAGATGCCACAGTAAAGAAACTGAATTTTGTCCTTAGGGCATTAATTCAGGAAAATATATAGATTTCAATTCTACTGTATTTGAAGAGCTCTAGGCACATGCTTGCCAAATCAGGGCCTCAGTCGCATTAGTCTGACCTGCAAATAAAAATTGTTGATTTCCTTAAACTTTCTGAAGCTCTGTGTTGGCCCTGATTACATGAATAGTACATAGAGTAACAGAGTCTTCTCAACTTGTTCGGGATGTCAGGAGTCTAACGGCACAGAAGTTTAGAAGAAGGAAGAGTTCTACTATTTTAAAAGCTCCTTTAAGAGCTTTATGTGTAGAAAGCGGTAATGTCAGGTTTCCACATTTCTGAGCATTTCAAAGGGCTGAAGAAATCACTTTGCCCTTCACTGGGAAGCAAGCACTTCACCTTTTAAGTTTGTTAAATTTTCCATTTCTGACTCTAGAATGGAAAATCAATTATTAAAAGTTGTTACCATACCCACATGAATAGCACGAGTGAATCTTTCAAATCCAACCGAGAAGGCAGACAAAAAGAGGTGGAAGATTTTGCTTCTCTTATCTTGAAGTCTTTCAGTGAGTGATTAAAAGAAATGGTCTAGTATTAACCCAAGCAAGGAAAACTGGGAGGAAGAAACACTGTGGGTACAAACTGGCTTTGCCCTTTCTGCACCATCCAGGTAGTTATCCTAGGCCCTTCCTGTTAGCGCATCTTTCCACCTTAACGCATTGTCCACAATTCAGAGTCAGTGACATTTTGGGAGGGCAAGAAAAAAGGTGGTTGCATATTAAGCAGAAGGGAGAAAATAGTCCATTTGTTCTTTCTTTTCTGTTTTACTGCTGGGTATTTATAGGCATGTGGGCATTCGACTGAAACCACAGTTTTACTGTCATTGGCCATTTTTTCATCTTCTGTATCATATTTTGTCACCCTGAACTCTCATCAGCTTAAAACAAGTCAAAAAGGATCTTGACTGAAAGGACTTTGTCCCACCACCCAGTCCTTCCCCATCTACTTATTTTTACTTGAAAAAAATACCATCACTTTACCTGGAGCCAGAGCTTGTCGTGCTGCGACCACTTGCCCCCAGCAATGCACTGGAAGGTTGCGTTCTGCCCCACGTTAACCTCCACGTTCTGCAGCCGGAGGAAATGAGGTGCTTTCCCTAACAGAAAATGCAAAGTGTTGCCAAGGTAGAGCAAGGCAGTACTCAGCTATGCTACAGACATACACACTCAGCAAATTATTAGGGCAATGCCAAGCCTAGCCTTGACAAAGTGATTTAGCAAAATAAAGCTGTCCTTCAGCTTTAATGATTCAGTGCGGAGTGGAGCAAACGATCTTACAGAGAATGGCCTAAGGGATGGTATAAAGCTCTGGCACATCTGAAAACTCACGCTTACTATCAGATCACAATGCAAGATCACAGTCATCAGCACAATTTCTTACTGCTTGCTATAAAGAGTAATTGAGTAATTTATTTGCTTTAGAAAACTGTGCTTCTAAAAAGGTCAAAAAAATCAAATACTTTTGAGTTTGTCAAGCGTGACTAACCCCAAACCAGTTCTCATCCAGTTCTTTTTTTTTCCTTATTTTCTTGACTGTCAAATAAATCCTAGGGCTTTAGAACAATTATATCACTTTGATATCAAACCACTAATATTAAATATTAATATCACCAATATTAGCATATCACTGTATCAGTTTATTAACCACCGATATCAGTGTGTCACTGATTTAAATTCAGTACTAATTAAATATTAGATCACTGATATTAAAATACATCCCTTATATTAAATATTCATCTGTTCACACAGGAACAAGATCAGAGCACTTTTTTTCAACTAAACTGTGGACTCATTCACCTCTGTAAGTAGTTTTAGAGGAAAATAAAAAGAATTTTACAGCAGTGAATTTGACCCTTGCAAATGAAATCAGTTCTGTGCTGGGCTTTGGAACAAAGTTTATGCACCATTTAAATACTTTTAGCTAGGGTGCACAGAAGTCTTGTGAGACTCCAAAGGTCAAACTTTTTCAAATTCATGTTCACCTTCTATAAGAAAGGATTATGCATTATTGCAATCAGGCACCAATAGGCACCATATTCATATCAGGCACCATAATTTCCAAGTACGTATCAACCCACATTTCTCCACTGGAAATAGCTTCAAAAGGACGTGGGCATCTGTGTCTATGTGTGCACAAGGATTGTTATATAGCTTGATATATAGCTCATTAGCTGCTACTTCCATGCCTGTACATGGGCAAGTACATTTTTCAGACATATGACGAAGAATTCAGGCCAAAAGTTTGTACGGAGATGCTGCACTGCGTTCACCAGACAACGCGCTTGCCAGCAACTCCTGCAAGCTAGGACTGCAGAAATGGAGTGATCCCACACTATCACACTTCCTGGGGAGCAATAATTACGCCAAAGTTTACAAGAAAACTACCTTTGGGTGAGAGAGAGAGAACATACTACGTGGTATGTTCAGGCTAATATTTGAGTAATTTCTGCCTGTGATCTAAGCAGAGCAGACAACACAAGCCAGCTCCAAACCCAAAGCTATGTGGCCAGGGCGAGCACAGCAACAGCAGCCGCCGTCTCCTGGTGCTCAGGTCTGCTCCGCGTCCAGGGCACGGGCAGAGCTAAGCTGTCCGGTGCTTGCAGGTGATCACACAGACTTAGCCACTGTAAAAGGCTTGAGCACAATGCAAAACTACTATTACCATTCCTCACAGTGGTGGGGAAAAAGCTACACTATTGTTGTTTATTTTTCTCCATCGCGGTGTCATTAGGGGCATTTTGCTGATATTTAGGCTTGTCTCCTACACCATGGTCTAGGAAAGTGAAACAGAAATGAGCGGAAAACAAACAAACAAAAACAGTACTTTCAGTCATCTCCAGCGTCGCCAGGAGCTTCATGGTTCCTGTGGTTTGAGTCATAATCATTGTAAAACAGTATGAGGGGCAAAACCTGTACAAGCTGAGAGAACACTGCTGGCTTTTACCTCGGGTGGCTGTTACTGCCTAATGACGAATGCAACACCAGGAATCAGCAGGGAGAAGCATTTAAAAGACTGTCAAGAACTTACGGGGGGACCACCGCATATTCAAGCTTACTTCTAACTTATTTCAAGCTTATAAGAGCTTACTTGTAGGGAATACTGTCTGCTGCAAGTGGCAAACTGACCCACAGTGGAGCAGTTACAGTTCACATCATTTTAGTTTTGAGTCTTGAAATCTAAGCACCAGCTCAACTAAAATATAAGGAAAATAACTCCACCAGTAACATTAATGGTTTTTTGAAGGCTGATAGGAGTCTTCTGGTGGATTTGTCCATTAATAACAACACAGTTGTGAAACTTCTATTAACTCTACCAGCAACTCCACCAGGAAAAAGGCAGCTAAAAAATTTAAGAAATGACCTGACTAGGAAGAATGGACACTTCTTTCTAAAATTAGCAGGGATATGAAGTGCTTCAGCTGATCTTTATAAGCAATGCACATGGACTCTGTACAAAAGGATAAAAGGCAGTTCAGTTGACACTGAAACTCCCTGTCTCTATTCTCAAAGCTGCACAGCAATTCTCAGTGAACTGCAACAGCACAACTGAATGATCAGGTACTGAACGTATGAGTTTATCACTGAATGAACACGCTGACAACACCCTTGTCTCTACGCACACCAATTTTATGTATTTTCATAGAGACTTCAGTTCAAAAATAGCACTCTTATTCACTAAATTAACATTAAGATCATACCTCATTTTGCAGAGAGACCTGCGCATACTTGGAGAAATGGACTTAAACAGCAGTTTAAGTACTTCAGTAAGCAGGGGTCTAACACTGCATCCTTTCTCCTTTTTAAATCATTGAACTTTCTTGTCCAGGCTTTGCTTGGCTTTATTGGCCTCTCCACCAGTAAAAAGATCAGTCAGCGCCTGACACGCTGTGAAATCCGAGCACACCATGCGTGGGATTTATTTGGATGCTGCCAGTTATCAGCAGCAGCTGGTTAACACTGATTGTAAGTTTTTCTTAATGAAGTAAATGCGCCCAAAGGCCTAAGAAATGAGTGCATGATAAATATAATTTAGTTAAACAGCAATTATCCATATTGCAGTTATCAGAAGTGTCCTGTTAAGCTTGAGCAGAACCATGTCTATCACACTGAATGGCAGCTATTCTTTGAAATTCTGTCTTGCAAGAAAATCAGCTGATCTATAACTAGACTATCCCACAGATTTGACGCATGTGATTCGCTTGCGCACAGCAGCTGCCACTACCTTACTGAAACCACGAACTAGTGAGACAGGCTGTAAAACTCTGGAACTGGAAGGGTTTTGTACTGTCTTTCCAAATGACACCAGGCTTGCTGGATTTGCAGCCTCAAATGATGAATACAAACAGGTATCATCCAAAATTACATTTGGATATCAAATATCTAATAACTTAAGCATTAAAAGGCATGGACTCATTACAGATTGCTCATAAGGACATTAAGATATTTGAAGAAGAAAAGCACAAAGCATGTCTAAACTCATTAAAGAACATGAAGGCTCTTAAAATCTTCAGAAGAGACTGTACACTACATATAAAACACACATACAAAAGTCATCAAACTAAACTGTGGACACACAAAACCGCAGCAACTCAGAGCCAAAAGTTGAGATTTAGGGCTTTTTTAAGTATAAAAATCTAGACTGAACGTATTGTGACTAAGATAGAAAAAAACATAGTACTAACAATTTTGAACAGCATGATGAACCTGCCTTAGTCTCCACTCCTGTGCAAATGTATTGTCTGCATGAGACTTTTTAAATATGCACATAGGTGCTGAGCGGGTTTAACTTTTGTTTCAAGAGATACCTTTTGCATACATCCCTTAACAAAGGAAATACTGTTTTTTTTTTTTTTTTTTAAGTTAACTGCATAGGATATCGTCAGAAGCTTTTCAGATCTTTTTCTTCAAGGATATGACTCAGAAGTAACAAAATAATCGGAGTTTTATGTTCTCTTAGCAACAGAGGAAGAGAGACTTCCACAGACATTCCGGCACTAGCTCCAGATCCAGATCTGTGTTGCCTTTTGCACAACTTGCAAAGTTATGTAATTATGCAAGGCTGACTCTCTCAGAGGGACTCAAGAAGACATTTTAGAGTTGACTGAACTGGGTAAATCACTCACCTAGACTGTGAAGCATGATATATTACACATTAACATATTTTTTTTTTTAAAAAAAGAAGAAGAAGAAGAAGAAGAAGAAACAAAGAATGCTTACTGCATGGATGGGCAAGAACTCTGACTTCATCCACAGCGATGTACCCTGGATGTCCTTTCAAGGAGACAGATTCAAATATCACCTGAAATACAAAACAAGAAAAGGTTTTCTTAAAAAAAGAACAGCTGCCCTGGCCTTTTGGCCAGTCACCACACACCACTCTCACTGCAGTTTCCGAACCATTCAAGGCATTTCATCATCAATGATGAAGGGATACAGACACAATTCAGTACGTATGTGCATATTAAAGACTGAAAGTCTATTTCATACAGGAAACAAAAAGTTACAGTAATGTTTATTAGGATTAGAAAGCTATGCGCTTCTTTCATTTGGAGGAGCAAAAAATATCCCATGGATACAAACAAATGGATTCAATTTAAGCATCAGTGCAAGAACAGTTCGTGGTTACTCATTTGACATCTTGTTCTTAGCACAATTCCAAAAGTTGGAGAAAGCTGTTCATTAAATAAAATTATCTTACTGAATCAATAATGCTGCGTGGATTCTTTTGGAGGAAACCTTGACTTGGCATGCATGCCATCGCGGTTCCAGAGAGCAAATTTTGAGCAACAGATGACCCTGGATTCCAGCTGCTGCACTGAAATAAGACTCTTCCCAAAATGTTACAATAAAGTAGTTTTTCTGCCTTTCTCTGGTTGAAGAATGAATTATCTTAAAAAGCCTATACATAATATTTATCTACATTAACCCTACACTAATTAGGCCTATTTTATTTATGTATCCGGACAATGAAAAAGTTCCACTAGTTTGGGGCTGAATACACAGATATTCTATTACAGGCAAACAAAAACGTAACTTTTTCCTATGACTCTGAGAATGAAGCTGGAAACCTGTCCTAATTTGGAGCATCTCGTTACTAAAAATATATAGACTACTTGAAAAGAGTTCAGAAAAAAGCTAAAAGACTAATAAAGAGATTACTAAAACTAAAATAACTACTGCCAAATAAGCTAAAATGCAGGAGAAAGTAATATTAAATATGGTGTACACGAAGTCTGTTAACTACTTAAAGCCAGCTTTTAACACTGTTAATAACCAGTCTAAATAGAAGTTGATAGTCCCTGTCTGTCACTGCTTAGCCTCTTTTTCGTCTCCTCCATCAGAAGATTAAATATAGTAAAATATCCAATGGTCCAAATGCCGATCACTGAAAGTCCAGGCTATTAAAGTAAGAGCAGTGTGTACTTCATCAGCATAAATTTTTTGGTTTTGCTTTGCATTTGAGCTTCCAGAACCTTAGTTTCTGCACATGCTCCCATGACTTCCTGAGATCTCTTCCCTCAATTCTATACACACCCAAATGTGAGATCTCCTCAGAGTCCTTAAGAAAAAAGGTATGATAAAAGCAGGCAGAATATAAACATAAACTCAGAAAAGCTCAGCTGCTAACAAAATGAAGAAAGAATTCTACACCAGAGGAGGGTGGACAAAACATGGACTGTCCAAAGTGTAGAAGAAGGAAGTAAATCTCTAGAAGAGAAAATAACGATCCAAAAAAATCAACAAGTGCTTTGAGTGATGAAAATTCCTTCCTAGGTTTTCTAGGGATGGTATAGACAAATAGTACAGTGTATATCCATAATATGGAAATGATGATTAATTCTGTAAGATGAGATGTCATTTATGATACAAATTGTACCTCCTGGGAAGGTCACCTAAGGAACTACTGCAGCTTCCTTCAAACACAAGATTACTAATAGTAACTTCACAGTTACTAAAATTTATTTTAGCGTTTATGAGAAGTTCTAAGCCATGCTAGACTCCATCTTCAATTTCCCTCAAGCCGACTTCCTCGGAGTCTCAGCCCTTGGAATAAAAAGCTCTCTGAGACATTGGCATCAGCTATGAGCAGGTGGCAAAAGCAGGCGCCACTAAATAGAGAATGGTCCTCTGTTAATTACTGACCTGTACAGAGCCTTTAATAGGGTGCAATGCAACCCAAGCCACTGGAGTCACTGCATCAGGTGATAGAAAGCCCATGCATTTAATCTTCACATCGGTGCAGAATCCACTGAAAAGAGTGGAGGATTCCTCTCAATTCATACAATATTGTTTTAACAGTGGTTTTTTTCATCTGTCCTGCTCTACACTCAGATCTTCTCCTTACTTCCCAGTTCAAACTTCCACACAATTAGCCTGTTTTATATTGTACAGCATCTCAGCCCTATCAAAGCCAGTAGCATGGGAGCACAAAGGCTTTCCCAGAGACAGAGAATCGGGACCCAGCGAAGAGGAAGAGGCAGAAACCCAGGCATATACAAGGCCTGCTGCTGCAAACTTGACACTGAATGTCTCTAGTGTCCTTTTAATCTCAGTGGGATATGTAATATAATGGTTGAGATACAGGCTTTTAACTGTGCTTTACATTTAAGTAACTTCTCAGAACAAAATATAGCTGACAAAATGCAAAGCTTTACTCTTAAAAAGCATTTTTAAATGCCCCTGGGAACTGCAAAAACCAAGCCATTTCATGTTTCCTTACCAATAAACAACCTCACATTTCAGCTGCTGTACACCAACAACATCCGCGTTAGCAAAGTAGCCCGGCTCATCTGTTGTGGTGCAAGTTTTCTTCAGGCACAGATCAATAAAGTTCCTCGCTACTCATGAAAAGGCCTCTTCCCGCAGACTAATGCTGCCCTTGGTGCTTTCTGGGACTAAGTTCATCCTCAAGGCAAGCAATAATTCAGAATCACACATACTAACTTTCTCCAAGTACTATTATGGCTTTGTTTGCTACACTGAAAACATAGGCAGGTTGGGAATCCAAATACGACTAACTGGAGGACAGGCGTTATAAATCTCCACCACGTTTTTATCTCAGCAGAGAGCTTTTGGATCTCTTTGACTCATACGGTCTTTGCGCGGGAGTGCCAGGCCTAAAAGCATGACCTCTGGCATTGGGCTGTGTGGCTAGCGTTGCACTAGTCACATCTCGAAAGCTCAGAGCACTTCCCAAAGCCTCAGCCGGTTTCAGATTTCTCACGACAGACTTTCGATGCACGCTGTGACTCGCGACAGCACAGGTTTGGTGCATTAAGAGAATTCTCCATGTTTTCCCTGACACAGGTTTCATTATTTAGGAGAAAGGCTATTTTTCCAGTGTTATCTACTGCTTTTCAAATACGTAACATGCTTTCATGTTACGCCACACACCTTTGGGCTCAGGCAGCTGCGCTAACCCTAAACATCACTAAAGATATTGTCTGTATCAACCTTCTAAATAACACTTGGGGGTTAGCTGCTCGTAGCAGATACAAAAGCTGTATTGGACTATGCCAAATCTCTCCACAGCTTTAAACAATCAGGTACTGCCAACAGGCAGCAAGGTCCAATGAGAAGGCTCTTGAGTGAGTGTGGTCAGTCAGAGGTCACACACATGCTACACACTTTGACATCGTACCCCTAATCAAATAAATTTTAGGGACCTTTAACAGCTGAAGTTCATTTACCATTTCATGACGGTACAGTTACACCTTACAACACAAACATGTATAGATACAGCCGCGACATCTGCAGTCTGCATTATAAGCCAGGTCACAGGTATTGTAAAGTTTAGTACTGTCATAGACAACTTTTTATCAGCCACATTCTAGGTACTTGAACAGTCTTTCATGATATATTTTTTAAA